GTTCATATGGAAAATAATATAATGCAAACAAAATCAACGTCTCAAATTCTATGAAAGTTTTTCCGGTTTAAAACGAGAAACCGATGCCGATTTACACATTCTATTATTTACCATCATGAATAGAATGACACCGGTGATAATTACATTTACCGTCGGAAAAAGCCCTTTCTAATTGAGGGACATATGTAAGCTTTGCAAACACTAACAACTGTCAAATGGAAACCACCAACACGAGATTAGGTCAAATGTAATTATGACGTATCACACCGGGAGGACAATCAAAGCTCGGGTCTAGGATGGATCATTAGGAATTGCAATTGTATCTTTTTAGACGCTAGATGGGTAAATTTGAAGGTCGCCAAACAGCTGAAGAGGTGGAATGTACGACACTTTTTTTACGGGCTATACAATCTGCTTGGTCATTAGGTTATCGAAAGGTTGAATTCGAATGAGATAATCTCAACATAAACCGTACCATCAATGGAAACATCACCAATTTGAAGTTCCAACACTACATAAATGCTATCAAATTTTCCTATAGGAATCGTAATGCGAACGAATGTGCAAATCGATTAGCGAAGAGTTGTATAGTTTCTCATATCTCATAGAGTCTTTTTTCTTGTTGTCCATCTTTTCTTCAAATCTTTTGTAAACAAAGATACATACTGATTGATGATTTTAGCCGGTAAAAAAAAAATCGAGGGACATATGTTAATGGGTCTTTCAAGGCCCAAGCTTATCGCTTAAACCCGAAGCCACCTGTTTGACCCGAAGGCTCGACCCGATAGACTCAAATCCTGACCCATATTTTAACCCGCCCGAGTACCCGACACTCGATTTACAGAAAACAGCCCAGAGAATCGACATTTTGTTTCCTCTTCTTCTTCCTTCTCTACTCTGTCGTACTTGAAGAGAGAGAGACAGAGAGGGGAAGGGATCATAAAAAGGCAGCCATGGGAGATGTGAAACTAGACGACGACGCGATTCTCAAATCCTTCTTCGCTGAGGTCGGCGAAGTCGAGAGAGACAACGAAGTCATCAGGTTCCTTTAAAACCCTCTCTTCCTTATGCCTAATTTAGCTCGTATCCACCAACTCTGTTCCTGATCCGAGACGTGTATAATCGCTATTATGCAATTCATAGTGAATTAGGGTTTCTATCAATATGTTTATCCCTTTTAAGACGATGGTGAGTTAGGCCACTGTATGTATGGAATCACAACTGAATTAGCAGCAGTGAGTTTTTTTTTTTTAATGGTTTTGTTCCTACAATATGCACTTGGTTACAAGCTTGGATCTTGTGAAAGTTTGATCAATTTCTCCCCTTTTTCCATGGGCGTTATTGGAGATATGATCTGTTTCTTTCACCGTATCGTTCATGTGTAGTAGTGATTACTTATTTTTGCTTTTGAGATTGTTACCAGTATGCTTGTTGTAGCGTTGCAGTCATGTCTCTTATGATTATATCTTAAAATTTTGAAACTTTGTAGGATTCTCTCATGCTTCAAGCTGAACCCGTTTGAGCATCTTAACCTATCTTTCGATTCTTCCACGGATGACGTTAAAAGGGCGTACAGAAAGGTATTCTCAGTTCTGTCACTTGCAATGCAAAGATATTTGTTTTTTTTCTTCTCCATGGTTTATCATCTTTAGTAGAATCAATAAGCATGCTTGGTGATTTTTATTTGTTGCGCCACTGATTGGGAATGCACTGGAAACTCTTTGACTGATTTGGACCTTCCTTTTCCAGATATCTTTGATGGTTCACCCTGACAAATGCAAGCATCCACAAGCACAGGAGGCTTTTGGAGGTTCATATTTTTTTAAAATTTCTTTACATATGCAGTTGTTTTTGTGTGGTTCACCATCTGGGTGTTGCATCAAGCAAGAATTGATTTTTTCATGTTTTTATGGGTTTTGATTTACTGAACAGCATTGGCAAAAGCACAACAGCTACTGCTGAATGACCAAGAAAGAGATTATATTCTCACACAAGTCCGTGCTGCGAAAGGTGAGAATTCGTAGTTTAAATCTGGAGTTATTAAGACCTCCTTGTGTAGAAACATGTACACATAAAATAAAAAAATTCACATTTTGCAGTTTGTGTTCTTCATCTGGAAATTATACCAGAATATGTAGTTAACCTTTACTTTCTGTCGTGACAACTTTCTTTTCTTCAACTGTGAAATGCAGAGGAACTTAGGATGAAGAGAAAGAAACAGTTGAAGAAAGATACCGCCTCTAAATTAAAGTCATTGGTTGATGAGGTAAGCAAAAAATGTCTTTTTGGGTTTAGATCTAAGCTTTTTCTCTGAGAGATTTGACCTTTTCTATTTGTCCAATGTGAATGGGTTTTAGAGTTAAGCTGGGTTACTGGTGGCTCATTGTAATCAGCGAGATCAAAAGTGTCGATTTTTTTACTGCAGATTTTCTTTTCGAAGCCTAGCTTTTGACAAAATTGGGCTTCTTCTGGAGTGAACCAATTTCTGTTGCTTGTTCAGCGAGTCTGATATCTGTGTTTTACTGGCAAGTTGCGATTTTAAAGAATGTTTTATCCAGTTGCTAGATTAAGTTTTCTAGATGCATGTTAGACGTATTAGTACATTATGAAAATGTCTGCTTCGCTGACATGATCTTGTTCAGTTTGAATTTTCGTTTACTGCCTGGACATTGTTGTAATGTAATCATAAACTGCCCTTAGATTGAGAAGGAAAATCTTGTGCCTGAATCTACCCATGAAGTAAGAATTCTAAGCTACAGAATACCCAGCTCATGTTTGTCAAAGCTACAGAATAATCAGCACTCTCTGTTTTTTTCTTGCGCCTGATTGTTATTTAGTCAGCACTCGTTGTATTCTCAGATATGTATTTTACTATTATCATCCGCTTCCTAATTGTTTTTTAACACTCTTTTGGTGTACACAGGGAAAGCATGAGCAAATATATGAGCAATCTGAAGAGTTTCAGAAAGAGCTCAAGTTAAAGGTCCGAGAGATATTAACAGAACAAGAGTGGCGTAGGAGAAAAATGGCAATGCGAGTATGTAGAGTTTCTACTTTGCCTTGCGTGTAATTATTCCATGAGAAGTCACACAATCATTCATTCATTTCCTTATGTTATTGCTTCTTGACATTTAGATATC